AGAGTGAACAAAAACCCATTAAACTTGACTTACAGGCACTGCATGAAGACAAAGCGATGGAAGTACATGTCATAAAAGCTACCTCTAGAGACTCAAGGCTAAGAACATTAAGTTACATGAGAAGATGCGAGAAGACGTTGCCAACGGTGACATCAGGGATTATACACATCAAGGTGTGTTGTGAAACTCCGAAACATGCTGCATGTGGGGGACCCTGGTGCAGAAAAAAGTTATGTCGCAACGGCATCGCGATGTGCCAGAGACATCGTGACATAAGTCGAATAAAAAAATATAAAGAAAAAAACGCTTCGCAGCACACGAGTTTGAGAGTGTAGTACCGCAGCAGTGAAGGTTTTGCATAATGCGTCTAGTCGATGAAAGTAAAACAAGACGAAGGAAAGTTAAACGTCTTTTCATGTCACTGGTTCCGCATGAGAAATTCCGTAAAAAAAGAGATATCTTCCACATCGCACGTCGAGGGATTTTGAGCTCAGACATGACACTTTATGATGCCAAACCAAAAATTCAAAGTTTTTGTTACTTGCTATGTATGAATGCTAGCGTATAAAGGTCGGGCTCATCGTTTCCCTGGCGACTCATACGTGAAATTTAATATCCGTACTTTTTTTTACGTAGATCATACTTTTGGGTAACAGCAGACACGGTGCGTGTGGCTATCATGCTCGAAATCTAGCTTTGTCTAACTTAATTGGTGGCCCCACAATACACGTAAGGTAAGACCGGGACCCTATCGTTTTTCTTTCTATCTTGAATCAATTCTTGTATCTTTCTAGATATTCAGGTGTAGAAAGCCAAGCGGGGCTGGGGAAGAGGGTATTTATGTCTACCGCCCGTGGAACTTTTGAGAGTATAATCGCCGAAACGATCTCGAAAACACTATAGATGGACAAATAGAATAAAACAAAGAAGCTCAAAACAAAACAAAACTTGTCCATACCTTTTACTTAAAAAAAAAAAAAAATCTATGTGACATAATAGCCGCGCTTCATAGGTAAGGCCCCAGCAGGACTGTAATTATCACTCATTGCTGCATAACGTGGCAATCATGTCAGCGTTTCTGGTTTTTCATTTGGTTAGTTCTTTGTCTTGTCTTTGATGAAGTTATATTACCGCTTGCTCGACCATAATGATGCAATTAAACCCGACCGAGCTCTCCGTTTGTCAATGTTTAAGTACCACCAGACCCTTTTCAAAAGTCGGCACCCTCGCCTGTTTGCTGTCATTGCTCGATTACCTTTCTCGTGATTTAAATCGTGATTTAAATCACAAGCAAGAACGATTTATAGCAGGCTGAACACGATCAGAAAGCGGTGCTCTTCTGAAGAAATCAGAGTGGTGGGCTTTTTGCTACCTCCCACTTTGTTGGTCAGTTAAACAATGTACCTTTGCAAGCAAAGGAGAACGTGAAAAAAGCAACGTCTTATTTATTGTAAGCAATCAAAATACGCAAAACAAAATATTTCCCTAACAAAACTAAGAATCAAGGTGCTTTCGTTCTATTATGACGGGGTTTACACCAATAAAAGGTTATTAATTAAACTATACCTTAAGTGTTTAAATACGGTACAGTAATTCTTTCTTGGGCCTTCTTTTTAACGAATTGACGAATTCATCGATTAATCTGTTATGTTTAAAATGAAAAAAAGGTGCCTTTGTTCTTGTGTTGCGGGGTTTACCCCAATAAAAGTTATTATTTAAACTATACCTTAAATGTTTAAATACAATACAGTAACTATTTTCCCGCATTCTTTTTGATGAATTGGCGAATTGATAAATTATTATGCCATGATTGTTATGTTTAAAATTGCATCCCTTGATAAATAAAAATCTTGTTTTTCTACATACAGTTATTTAAATTAAATTAATGTGACCTATATCAAATAAATCAAATGTTTTAATAATTATTTGTTGTTGTTGTTCAGGCGCGATAATAAGATGTCGAGCGTTTCCTAAGCTTCAAGTGACTTTATAACGTGTTTTAAGAACGATAGAACCTTGCTTATTGGGTACACGTTCTTCGCTAGGTTATTAAATTGTCGTTTTTATTTGTTCAAGCTACGCGGGAATTTTTGTGTTGTAGAGAAGTTGGTCACACGGCACGCCCTTGTTGGATATAAACCTCCCCAGCATCGGACCTGGTAAAGTCCCTTGCTTCGGGATTCGGCCTCCGGAGTCCCTATCGGCAAATATCGTAATCCTTTTGGCTGCGAAGCGTTAATTAGGTGCCCGGAACCAGGCCACGGCCCCCTTGCGTTCGCTAAGCTGTCAACGACAGTAGGTACTTTTTTAGAAGACCGTTACCGTGTTCCGCGTACCGCATTACCGGAGCCTTTGAAGCGTGCTTTTTTAAGCGCGCGCCCGGTTGATACTGTGTTCCGCGGGGAGCGTGCTTTAAAGAAGACTCCGGTAGTGCGGTACGCCGAACACGGTAACGGTTTCCTAAAAGTCCCTATATTACAGAATCACCAGGTTATCTTAGAGAGCCTGTATTACAGAGGGATGATTTTATGGGCCGCGTTTGCAACACGAGCTGCGAGGTGGCGCCGAAAGCGTTGACTGTCTGCGAACGTCTCCACCGTTCCTCCTGCTTTCCTCCTCCCAGCGCATGCGCACTTGAGACCAGTCTCGGCAGAAGGAGTCCGCCATTAAATTACAAACGCTACTCACTATGGTTTCAGATGGACCCGCTCTTGAATCTAGACTCTCTGTAGGCCTTGAATGGTTGGATGGATGAATGAATCCGGCTGAGCCCTTTGGATCGGGTGGTAGCTTACGCCACCTAGCCATTTTGTTTTACCATTTAAGCTTAGAATATTTAAATGTGAAAACTATACTCACTACGCCCTGAAAAGAAAGTGAGGCTATAAAACCCCTTTGCCATCAAATAATAAGAAAATACCCAGTTTTCCATCGCCCATCGGTGCTTCCGCTAGCGCCATCTCTCGGTGTGGCGCGTCCGCAGCGAAAACCAGGGGTCGCATCAGGAGCCATTGGGGCTTTACATTGTATTCCGACAATAGGGAGTTTTAGTAGATCATTCCGATGACTCCGATAATGATGCCTGATACTCCGCCGGCGCCTTTGTGCCTGCGTCGTATCGATATCGGGTATCGCTATCGGAGTTACCGGAAGGATTAATGAAAACTCCGTAATAACTTAAGTCACCGCTTTCCGGATTGAGACCGGTTCATTCGGTCTCGTTCATGCGTTAACAACATTTAACGCCGGAGCAATGATGTGGTGATTACTATACTGGCGACGCCCTCTGTGACTTAGGTTCTCAAACAACGAGATTTAAATGAGAGCAGTAACGGGAGGGTCACCCGCAAGACACAATCCAAACTAAACATGCTCGGCGTTTTTTTGTTTTTGCTTTTTTTAGATTAAAATATATTAATAATTAAAAAAAAATAATATACAGTGCGCCATTTTCCTTTCTGTTGACGCTTTGAAGAAATAAGCATTGAGATCTAGAGAAAAAGCTGCAGGAATTAGAACGCCAAAATAATTTTCTGCAAGAAAACAATTGAACCTCAATGTTTTAGGAACCTTACGCTTATAAATCTGTAGCGTCTACGTTCCCGGAAAGCATTTGATCGAGCCAATCACCCTAACCTACAAAGGGAGCTCGGCCAATGATGAAGCTAAAGACATGTTTACACCTAAAAAGAAAAGGAAAAAGAAAAACTGCTTGCGTTGTGACAATGAGAATGATGTTTTCTTTTTACAATCTCAATGTCACAACGCAGACTGTTTTTGTTTTTTAACGATTAAACATCTATTTTTAGCCTGGTCGTTCGCTGAGCTCCATCGTACATTGCAGCGATTGGCTCTCCCAGTTGCTTTGCAGGAAAGGGACGCTCCAGGTTTAGTAGAATGCCTAAAGGCCCGTTCATACTCTTGCGACCGAGTACGACTGAGAGAGACGAGATCTCTTACAACTTCTTAAATGTTTCTAGAATGAGGGAACACACTGTCATTGTGGCGCCATCTATGCGGTGACCCTAAAACTGCATTTCACAAAAGCGAAGGTTTTGCGAGATTTCCGAGGTCAAATGTGCGTAATACCCATAGAAAGGCTCGTTTATAACATTGACACAAGTTTTTCGAGCCAAAAAAGAAAGGATATTGCGCGAGAAATAAAAAAAAAAAATATGCCGGACCGCCGAGTTTACACTGCTTCCCAATACATGGCACCAGTGTGTTCTCTGGTTTAAGAAGTTTTAAGGAACCCAGGTTTAAGAGGTCGCAAGCAGTCGGAAGAGTGTGAACGGGCCTTAACACCACTCGAAATGTGGCAACTCAAACTCGTATTTCTTTTGATTTTTTTTTATTCGAAGTGTTGGAATTGTTTAATCTTTCATAACCTTTTTGAGAGATTAAATGATAACTGCTCTACGTGTTGAAGGAAGAAAATAGCTTTAATTTTTACTGTCACACTTTAGGGTCAGGTCTGCTTGTTCAAAAATCCTTTTAAGAAGTGACAAACGTAAGCTTTTCAGATCGAAGAAAAGAAACCGCACAGATTAGTTTAGGAAATTAAAAAAGAAATTTCCTCGGCATTGTATACAGCTAAGCTACTTTTCGATTTGAAAATCCGAATTGACTTCGTCGACTTCCCGGCTGTCGTAAACCTCGCAGACCGATAATTTCTTTTTTATTATTATTATTTTTTTTTTTAAATTCCGTATTTATCCTTGTTACACGTCTCGAATTCACAATTTTAGCAACTGTCGTCGTTGAATTAAATCCGCACGACAAATAGGGAAAAGAGTGAAATTCACGGTGGCGTACTCACGTAATTTCACTCAAGCGAACCGAACCGCAACGAAGCCAAACGAACCAATAAACGAACGGAAAGAAACTTCAGCAGGTGACGAACGACAAGCGACCCGGAGTTCTGGTCCCACGGCTCTCGGTCCCGATATCCAAACGGTGGTTGTGGACTCCCCTCGCAGTGAGCCGCACGCTGCCCTTACCTGTCTGTGGCTGCGCACGATCCGGAGAAGAAACCCGACGACTGCGCACACTGTTCACTACAGGGCCCCAACTGCAAGTTCACTCAGAGGGGCTTCACGACTCGAGATGCACCTCCGGCCAAAAAACCTCCATGGCAGCTTATATATACGCGGAATCATCCTCCGCACCACGTGACCTCCCCCTCCGGAGGAATAGCATTAGCAGTTTCACTTTCTTGGATGCTCCAGATTCGAGAGGAAGGCGAGGCTGACTCCTCTCTCTCCCGTTTCGGAGGATCGTCTGTCTACTCTCACCCGTTTCTCCTTCCCCCGTTCCTCCTCGGTGGTGCTCCTTCTTCTGCCTCTTCTTGCCTCTTCCCACCCCCGTCGGATCGCCTCTCGCATTCCCCGTCAACGGTCGGCGACGTCATTCGCAACCCTTTCCGATTCCCTGGGTGCGTGTACGTTGTACGTACGCGCTTGCGGTTCGACCTGCCCTTACCGCGGAAAGTGCTTCCGATGGTTGTGGGGTGGGGGACAACTCCCTCTTTCCCCCGTCTTCTCTGTGACTTCGCCGCTCGGTGCCTGCCTGCTCCGTGAGGCTTGTGTTGTTTCCAGAGGGCTTTCAATTTCCTTTGGAAGGACCTTTCTTTGTTTTTTTTTTTTTTACCTTTCTTTTGGATTTCGTTCTCGTCTTCTTCTTTATTCCCGCGAGTGCTGCGCTGGTGGAAGAGCCTCAGTGATTGACGGCAACACTCGACGGTTCGTCAGATGACGAAGAACAAATAACACACCGCCACTTTTTCCTCCATTTCTTAGTGCGGTTTGCTGAAAGTGGTGGAAGTTGTTTTCTTTTCTCTCCTAAGTTCGGGTCGTTTTCTTTTTTCCTTCCTTTTTTTTTTCTTTTTTTCTGGAGGCGCGGTTTTTATTGCTCCCTCAAATCAAACAGCATCTCCAGTGGCAGGGTAAGAGGAGCCTGAAAGGAAAGAACTTGGAACTACCCAGTATTTGACGAACCTGGCGTTAAGTAAGCGTGATGTGGCTTCACGAATCGGGAAATATTGTCTGTGTTTGGGTGCAGCGTGTGTGTGTGTGTGTATGTGCCTGTTTATTTTCGTACGCTGTTGACTGTAGGAAGCTCGTTCGCATCTCCTACCCACCACAGGCCCGAGGTGCTCGTTGTCAATCAAGTGTGCGCCTCTGTGGAGATGCCAGGGAGAGGCGTTCGTTCTGGTCTGTACACGTTCCAGACGAAAAAAAAAAAAAAAAATAATATGAGACTTCTATTTGACGTTTAAGGCACCTTCCGTGTAAAGGCGTATGCAAGAAGAATAGACGCCTTGGGGATTGCTTGATTTCTTGCTCATATATATGATTGCCTTTTTTTTATTATCCTACAGATTAATTTGTCGGACAATAGTGGCAGCCGCTTGAAGAAATGATTTCGTGTCGCTCCAATGTTTGTTAAAAATACCGTTCTCGGGAAAGCTTCTCCACTAGGTCATCTTCAATGTTCTCAGCTAATGGTATTTTGCATATTATATCGTATGATTAGATATAAAATAATATAAAAAATACCTCGGCAATAAAAATGACCTCCTTTTGAACGTGCGCACATGCATAGAAAAACAATGAGTGGCGAATTTTTTTGGATCGATGTTAACTGTAGGAGTATCTTGCTCGAACCCTTAATGGTAATTAATGTGTGTCATACTCAGTCATTATAATCATCTTTGCGATACAGCGTTTTTCAAACATATGATCTAATGTACTCTCGTGAATGTCGCAATTCACTGCAATATTTTTTTTCAGCAAGAACAATAAAGTGGCTCTGAAAAATGTAAATAAAACTTACTGATTATACCTAGCACAAACGTAGCCGAGATCATAGAAAAAAAGTTTCCTTTTGTTGTCAGTCCGCGGGCGTGGTTGAATTTTCATAGTTGGCATGTAAAGGTTACCCATTTTGAAATACGACCTGGCACATGAACAAAAGATGCACATGTTAGGTGCTTGGGTCCTTATTGATTGTATTGAGGGTACATTTTAGGTACAGACCCAGTTAGCCGTCAACAAAATACGCTGACTTCTTTTTTTTTTTTCGTAGTACGTTCAGGTGTAAAATTCAAAATTGTTATCGATGTTGTTGTTTTTTTTTATTAATAGCCTGGATGTGGTTCAAGGTGAATAATTATGTTGTTGCAGACGTTGTGATCAACACAGTTTACATCTAAATTTGTAAATTAAACTAGAAAAGCTCATGAATGATTATCCTGTCTCGTTCTTTACTTCATTTTATTTGTTTTATTCTTGACTTCCATATTCCAGTTTTTCGATATATGTAATTCTTCCACTTTTTCTGCAAAAAAAAAAAGAAAAAAAAAAGAAAAAATTTACTTGCAAGGTAGCTGTCGCTATATCTATTTCATTTCCTTGCGCTATTCCTGCTTTTAATCTTTAACCTTCCGTCTCTCCTTTACCTGAATTGAAGAGAAGGCTGCAAATACGAGCCCACGGCTGTGCGGCCGCGCGAATGATCATGCAGCAGGAGAAGATACTAAATAAGCCACGAGGCTCCGGACTACTATAACCTTGGCTGCAGTACAGTAACTTCAAGTGAAAAGAAGAATAGCCCATCAGGATTGTTTTGTATTACCCCACCTGCTGCAAGAATGTGGCTTGACCGAAAAATGTAATATTAAGATGTGCTGTATCTGTGTTTAGGCAGCAAGGAGTTAGTAAAAAAATGACATCTGCAGTGGTGCGTGCCTCAAAGATCTAGTAAACTGCTAACCTGGGGTTTTAAATGTGCATGACGCAGTAATGATTGTACGACCACACGCTGGCACCACGCATGTCCATATTGAAAACCTAAGTGTAAGGTTATGGCTACTGCGGCGGGAGCTTTTGCTCACCTGACCTTAAGACATCATGTATGCCTGAACGGCAAAGTATAAACCTCTTATAAAGTTGCTACTGTTGACAATTGTGCAACTTTTTGATACTTGCTTTTTAGTAGGCAAACCGGGTGTATATTTTTCCCTAAAAGTATCAGGGATTGTATTTGCTGGTGAATTACAGAAACCACGCTATATTAATTACTTGCCTGATCGTAATATTAATGACCCTCCGCAGTTTGTTCAAAGATCTACTGGTAGCACGGACTGAATTGTATTCTCATAAATTTACGATGTGTAATGCCCAAAAGTAGTTTAAAAAGAAAATGACAGAAACGACACATGCCGTTAAGTATTCGGGTATAAAAGCTTTCCCTTGGGGCACCCGTTGTTGGGTTTCATGCTGTGCATCGCCATATTATGTGTAAACGTAAATTGTTCACTCTTTAGATACCTCCGTATAGACATCCTAAATTTTTTTTTATCAAGTCGTATATTATTTTGCAATGTAGTGTCAAATGTCGCTTTAATAAAAATGGCTTTCACCACGTCAAGTTCCTGATTTGTATTGCTACTTCAAAGTCAAAACGATTTACCACTTAGCCTTCTTAATAAACAGATTTTCTCTCTCTTCTAAACGTTCGAACAAGATATGTTTTCGAAGTAACATGCTTTGCTTCAACATTTGAATCTGTCAAGTAAAACGTCGGAGGCAGAGCTTGGGAATACAGTCTCTTCGTAGGGGCGACGCCACTTACGCCATTCAAGACGACGCATGTGAAGTAACTGAGCGGCGTCTGGCGCCGGCAAGGGACGACACCCCCTCTCGGAAAATTTCAAGCCTCTCGATTTTGACTCATTCAATGTCTTTCCTGATGCTTCTCTTTCTATGGGTTCAAGCGTTGTTTTAACTTTTTGTGGTACGCAGTTCATCTTTAGGGGTGCGTAAATTGTGATACTGTTTTCTTATCCCTACCCGGAGAGAGAGAGAGAGCGCGAGAAAGAGGGAGGCGTGGTAGTCATTTACACTCCCTGAAACCCTCGCGCACTCCGCCATCACTCGCCGTAACACCAATAGCTGATATTCATTCCTCGGCTCAATCATCAAGAAGGGCGCATTAGTATCATGTTCTGATAGGCATACTCTCTGATTGGTAAAATAATTGGACGTGTTTTCACCCAATGAGTAAATACATCTTGTACAGCCTGACACCTGTCACCCTTTCCGCGGATTGAATGGACAAAGAAATATCTATGGTTAGCGTTTTGAATGCATTGCCTAGCGGAGTGTGACACCAGTCACCAGTAGCGGCACTGATTGAACTGACGAAGGAATATTAATGGTTGGTGATTCGAAAGCATCGCATTGCCTTGTGCACTCAAAAACTTTTAGGAGTGCATTTATTCTCTAGCAACCCAAGAGCTGCAGGAGAGGACGCGCCCTCAAGACACTGCGCTCCTATCGATGCTCAATTAGTTCTTTGTGCGTTGAGCATTTGGCAGAACTTTTTTGCTGTAGGAGCCAATTTTTAATGCGAAAGCATTAACTGCCCCATGGAGCAAAGCTGGCGTTGCCTGTAACCGTTTGCAGCAGAAAAAACGGCACCCACAAGCGGAGTTCCCATTGGCTGCGACGCGTCATATCAGATGCTTCGTCACGGAAGCTGGCCGGGCGCTCAAGGTCAAAGCGAACGCGCCTCAGGAATAAAACACAGACAAAAGCAGAGCAACGCAGATGCATCGTCACGGAAGTCGTCGAGCTGCAAGGTTTGCCGCGCCTGCGCAGTGGGGATCGTGATTTCACCGCCGGCGCGCCGTGCGAAAAAGGAAGACGTGGCGCGCAACTTGTAGGAATGCACTGCTGGTAGGAATGCGAAAGCATTCCTACACGCTGCGCATTCCTACAAGGGCAGTCGTAGGCAGTCTTTACTGTCTCTGCTAATTTTTTTTTTAATGGGGCTGACGGATGATTTTTTTTTCTTTTATCTTATGTCAGAAACATGCTGCGCTCGTGCTGAATGACGCCGTCACGACATTTACCACTGGGCATAGACCCTTTCCTAAATTCAGTCTGGCCACTTCGATAACTATTAACGGCTATTACCATCCGTAAATGATAATGGCGGCCTTCTGATGGCTGGTGAAGGAAGAGTTTGAAGACAGGCACCAATTTGGAGCCTGATCATTCTGGATGTTAGTTCGCTGGATTATTGTTCGTTGTCACCGCGACGCATTTGACGCATTGACGCATTTTGTTTTATAGGCGCTACGCATTCGAGTGTGTCATGTGAATTCTTGGAATAGTCGACTTCGGAACGCCACAGACAGCTCATGAAACAAAATTTGAGTAATTTTATCGAGAGTTTTACTCAATTAAGCGCATCGTACAGAGTGGTAGTTCCTTGACGCCATCGAAACTAACACATATGGAGAAACAACTGTGCAGCGAAGAACACCGTAACTTTCATCCGTCTGCCGTCGATGAGTACGTCCTATAATAAGCACCATTAGCGTACAACATTTTAATGGGAGGATCGGTGACCGAGTGGGCTAACGCGTCTCAGCTGGGAG